GTGAAATACCTTTTCGTTGGAATCAGATTAAACCCGGAAAGGAAGATAAGATGATATGAGAAAAGAAAAGAAGGTTCAATTGATGGAAGAATGAAAAAGATGAATTCCATGGAGAACAAGCAAGCTCTACTTTCATGACGATGATGAGCAAGAAGAAGATGAAAAAGCAAGAGAAGAAAAAAAATGAGCTTTAAATGGTTTTTGCTTTTTAAATGGATTCGTTTTGATCAAAAACCTTTGTTGTGTTGCTATCAACATTCACATTAATCTCTTAATCTCATTTTTTCCCTGTTAACCCTGCAACGGTGAAGCACAAGAAGATGCAAAAAGCAGAAAAGCTAAAATTGAACAAACAAAAAGTTAATCCAAGATTAACCCTGAAAACTTGCAACTGTAGATGCCAAATGGGCCAAATTGAGGGCAAAAACCATCGACCAAAAGAACGAATCGAAATGACGAAAAAAAACGAACCAACGAAAAATGTTGTTAACTTTAAAATGATTGCCAGCAAAAATGGAAATAATGTTAATTACATTATGTTGACCAATCTTCTCATTTCCCAACTGACCATTACTTTGATTGCTGCCAGTAAATTGCCGTTAAAACCTCAATTTATTGATGAGAACAATTATCTTTATAGCTTGTTCCAATACTTTAACCACTTACAAAGAGAAGAGGAGTTTACTTGAAAATTTGCTCATCTTTTTTCATCTCTTCCATCATTTTCATCCTCATCTTCACCATTTCATTTCAACCTTTTTTTCCCATTTTATATTTAATTAACCATCAATCACAGAATGAACCAGAAAAAGCAGGCAACAAATCTCACAATTCATATCTGCATTCAACTATTCAACTCGATTAGCTCATTGTTTATTAACTTCAGTTTTATTCAATTAAAGTTTATTCAAAGACTTGCTCGTGCAATGGTTAATGATTAACCTAATCAACACACAAATTGAAAGTTAATTGTACAGACTTTTCTCAATTTTGAAATCATTTAAACTGTAATTACACTTTCATCATTTCCTCATCATATCGATTGAGAGCCAAAAGATGTTCATTGGATATTGGATGTTCATACAAGATTAACTATGGATTTTCATTGCTTCTTCATAGATTATCATGGATTGTTTCAGGTCAATGGCTATTGTTCAAATGTTTCAATTGGACAACAATTGAAACAGCAATTCCAATTGCTATGAGTTCAGACGAAAAACTTTTCATGTTATTTTGGAAAAGAGTAAAAGTTGAAAATTCAATTTCAACCTTCAACAGGGATTGATGGAGTAGCTAATTGAATTTTAATCTGTCATCAACATTAATGATAATCTTATTTTGATATTAGTCTTGTTTGTGAAAAATGTTTTCCAATGGATTTAAATGATCGAAAGGAATGAAAATAATTTCAACCTTTTTCTTCCCTCTTCATAATTGTTCATTATTATCAGTTGAAATTGAATGAAATGTTCATCAGAATGTAATGGAAAAAAAGTTCTCATCTAATTACAAAAATATAATAATCGAAATTGCAAGTCAAGCAGTTTAATTAACAGATGATGAGATATAAAAATGATGTGATATCAAAATTATCATTAATTGAATTTGACTTTAAATTGGAGTTGACATAAAATTGAACAAAAGGAATCAATAGATTGCTCCAATGTTAAACAGTTTCAAGATTAACCCAAAGTATCATTTAGTGACTCTTAATTTGATTAACGCTTGTCTGTCCATTCACTCAATTAATTAACTATTTAGTGAAGGCAAACAATGAAAATGTCAATAAGAGTCTCGAAGCCTAAAGCCAATGAACATAATCATCTTTGCCTAAAGTCAATGTTTCTGGTTAAAATTGGAAAGTTGGTTAAACCTGTGAAACCCAAAAAATACACAATTAGATTGATAATGATATTTGGATGGAAATTGGGAAAATCATTAATCATTCAATAAGTAATCTGGTGAGACTTGGAACGATGAAACAGGTAAATACAGATCAATGATTTTGTCCCCTTCAGTTGAGGTAAAGGAACAAATTGATTCAACAAATTAATCATTTAATGAAATAAACTGATGCGATTTGGTAAAAATGGTTGATCCATAACTCAAAGTAAATCTGATCCTCTTTTAATCCATTTACAATTATTGACAACAATTGTTAATCGCAAGCTTTGAGAGTTCATTGCTCAGAATGGCTCTGATTAATAATCAATTTATTCATAATCAACTTTCATTCATTATTTTTACCAATTAAAGTTTCATTTTACTGGCAACTAATCAAACAGCTTTTGTCTTTCCTTTGTTTCTTCTTCTTCTCATTCATTATCTTCTTCATCTTCTTCATCCTCTTGATCCTCTTTCTCCTTTCTCCTGAGGCTTTCAGATTCACTGTCGATTCACCAAAATTTTTAATCATCAAACCATCCATCTTAGAATCCCATGTGATTCTGTATTTCTATTTTTTCCTATTAACTTTCTTTTCTTTTCCCTTCTTTTCTTCGCCCAAACTTTTCTCTTCAAAATTTCATCTTTTTCCTGGTTCCATGCTCTTCAAGGGCAGAAACCCAAAAGTTTCACGATTCTCTGATTCACCAGAAACACCTTTTACAACCATTTGTCGTTAACAAAAAGCAAAAGAAAGTGAACAATTTTCAACTTTTCATTGCCAAAATGAATCTCTTTTTGAAACATTGACGACAAGTTTAACCTTTAAAGGTAAAATAAATCATCTTGAAATATGATTTGAAACTGAAAAGTTAAACTTATCTACACTTGAAACATCAACAACAATTAATCACATTCAATTTTGATTCCAATAAAAATAGAAACGAAATCTTTTCCTCGTAAAATGGCCTTTGATTTCATAAAACAATTTTCGCCCATTTTTCGATTCTCAACATTTTCCATCAAAGTTTTCCAAAACCATTCCAAAATCAACTGACAGAAAATTCAAAGTCTTTTTTAATAGAAATGAATTTTTCGATTTTACTTAATTTCGTTAAAAAATCAATAAAAGTCTCAATCGAATATTTACATTGGAATCAGCTTTCCTTTGGATTGCTTTTTGATATTAATTTTACATTAACTGATGTTTTCTTGGTTTTACCAGATTCAACAATTTTGTTGGTTAATAATTACAATCAATGATACAATTCACGTTCCAACGGGATTGTTCAATCAGTTAATTCAATTTATATCTTGAACCATTTGATTGGTAATGACAATGGACAATATGGAAGTCGAAACAAAACTCTGATTAACTTTTCATCTTCATCTTTAATTTTGTAAAAGAAAAGACAACTTTTGTGTTCCATCCTCACTGGAGATTCATTTTAAGGTAAACCCCATTTCATCTACAGTTATTCAAGGTAAATGGAAAAGTGATATTACATTTTACGAAAAGAGAAAAAAGAAGAAGAGAAAAAAACATTTTCTTCTTTCGTCTTTGCTCCATCAATTACATTCTTTGCTTAACTCCAGGCTTTACCTGAACATCCCTGTAACCTTCATATTACATGACATGAATTTGTACTTGGATACAAAACTCATTTCTGATTTCAGCTTATTAGAGTCAACCTTTGCCTAACAAATGAATCAACAAGATGTTCAAATATCACACTAAAACAACAAGGTTCAAGGGTTGAACAAAAGGTAAACTCAAAAGATTGAGATCGAAAAGTTTCTCCAGAAAATTGATCAACATTTTTAATCCATTTCATTGCGCTACCAAAAAAGTAAGGAAAAAGTTGCCTTTCAAAAGATTGTCTAATCGATCATTGAAAGTATAAACAGACTACTGAGACAGGAAACCAATGATCATGAAAGAGGATCATGAATTCCCTGTTAATCCTTGCGAGTTTGAGAACTCATAAGAGTAAAAAAAGAAGAATCTTGGTGAGAAGGAAAAAAATTAAGATTAAGAGAAGCATAAGTTGAGTGTGAAAATTCATGTAACTGTAAACAGAATGGGATTGAAGATTAGCATTAAGATGAACAGAGATGATTCCAGTTTCTTACCAAGTTGATTGCTTCTCTTCATCTTCCCCATAATCATTATCCTTGAAAGCTAAATTAGCTGAAAGTTTCTTCTTCTTCTCACCGAGAGATAATCAAAAAGCCAGAAAGAGTTGAAGAAAAAAAGTTCATCACTTGAATATTATTGTTAACAAGTTTGGCTGTGGGTTAACCATTGATGGCTGGAATAGTGAATAAACCTCAAAAAAGCGGTTAAAGTGGTAAAAGAATAATTTAATTTCTGAATTAAATTCGTTGAAGCAAATCAAGAAAAGAGGAAAGAACAGTTGATAGTTTAAAAGCCAATGATGACGAGAAGCAAATAAAGAGCAAGAAAAAAAGAGCCAAAGTTATCGTGAAAAAGATGACAATTTTCATCATTATCTTCATCTCTAAGTTTCTTTTCATCGCCTTTTCTCTGTTTTTCAGTTTCTTTTTTCTCGAGTTTTCCTTTTCATTTCTTTATCCATTATTAAATGATTTTCATTATGAAGACAATTTTGTTCATTTTTTCATGAAACTAAACTGGAAACTTGATGTTAAGCAAGAAAAATATCAACATTGAAAAGACCCTTTTGGTGGACCTCAATATATATTGAATAGCCAATAACTTTGGGTAAACATTTGAACACTTGACTGTTTGTAAAATGAAAAATTGACAAATCTATTTTGCCTTCTTTTGCTCGCCAATTGTCCAACAAGAATGCGGCCAATGGCTCTCTGATGGTCATGATGAACTGAGGGAAAGTGGAAATATATTTACTGTAAAAGTGATCAGTTTTGGCTGGTTAACACACACACAGTAATGTAAGAAAGTTAATAATGCATAAAATGATTTTGACCAGTTAAAAGGTTCTGATAAGTTGTCATTTAGCTGTTGAAAGGTTGAAGGGTTTGCGTTGCAGTTGTCAGTTAATGTTGTCATGTTAAATGGTTATAATGATAGGAGTGAGGTGAAAAAGGGTCCAAAACGAGGTTCTACTTACAGTAAACTCGAAGAGGTTTAATTTTACGAACAGTTTTAAATGAAGGTTCTTCAGCGGAAACTTCACATTTATAGTCGCCTTGGCTGTTTAAATCAGTTGTATTCAAAAAAACGTTTCCAAGCGTTGACTTAGATAGCTAAGGTGAAAAAGGTAAACATTGGTCACTTCGCAAAAGTAAATATGTTGTCTCATGTTGTTGTTTACAAGGTCATAAATGGTCAAATTTGTTTGTTTTTTTCTTCTCTCTTTTCTGTGTTAACAAACATTTTTATTGAGTTATGTTTTTACAAGAAACAAGGTTTAACTGGTTAAGACTGTTGGGAGTTTTAACTCCCTGCATTAGAGTAAAATGCTGTGACTGGCTAAAACCAATTTTTTCATGTTCTATTTTTGTTGCATTTCTTTTAGCATTATTATTTTTACGATAAAATATGTTTGACAGAAAATTTTATTCCTTTTTTGCAGAATAATAAGATTGGAATTTTGGTGAAAGTAAAGTTTTTTATATTCATCTGTGAAAAGTTGGATTCTCAGGTATTGAGTATTTAGAGAGCTTGAAAGTCAAAATGGTTGTTCAATTTGAATATTATTTGACATAATTTGTGTGGGAAAAGTTTTCTTGTACTTTGTTGATTGATTAAATTCATTGACTAGACATGATCAAGAGGATTGATATTAAGGTTGCAGCATTTGCAAGCGAATTGGATTTTTTGATTGAGAAAAGAATTAATCTTTAAAGAAATGTTTGGTACAGAATTTCGTTGCTTCGAAAAACTTTCAGAGTTTGATTTCAAAATTGATTCATTGGATTCTTTGTCGATTGATTGTTGATCGAAAGGCATAAAAAAGGAACTATTTGATAACTCAATATCTTTAAAATTTTCGGTTTTTTTGTTTTCTCTTTTCCTTAACTACAAATCAATGACCTGATGTTCAGGATGAAGATTATCGCAGTTGACAAGAATGAACGAAAATTAAAAACGGTTCAGCCTAAACATTTTAACCTTGCACTGTTTTCTTAATGTTTATCAATTTTCTCAAATGATTTTAAAATGAAGATTCTGGTGACTTTTATACAAACTCATCATCAAAAATCTTTGATAAACAGCTCAATAAAATCTCATGATTTATCAAAGAGTGATGATTCTATAAGTGATAAGTGATACCATTCTCGAAATATTGAGACTCAAAATTTTCAGGCAATGACCAAGATCAAGAGAACTGTCGATAAATTGAAAAAATCTGTCAGCCGCTGATGTGTACCAACAACAAGTTTTAGCTCTCTAACTCTTACGGACACATAATGCGGAAGGTTCAATTGAAAATCGAACTGATCTGTTGTGCAGAAACAGAAACCTGTATTCCCCAAAATAAGGTGAATTTTCTGGTTGATTACCAAAAGTTAATTCATTAAAATGAGTTTTACGAAAAAACCCGCTTCCATAATCGAACAAAAGACGCTCGAAGTTTCAACTTTGGACCCTCAAAAACTGTCGACCGTAGAAATTTCTAACAGCATAAATGGGCTCAGTTTTTGCGCCTCTTAACAAATAATATTTTTTGTCTTCACTCCTTTAACAGAATAATCTGAAAATTATTGATTTCTATTTCAAATGTATGCTTGTGAGTTCGTTGATAAGCACAATAAAATAATTGAAAAATCTCTCAACTTCGCCTTGTTTTCTCAATATTTTACTCAAAATTACTGCAATTAATGAATAAATTTCTGACAATAAATGCTTCGTTTTCACTGATAGATTGACTTGGAAATTAGTAAAATTTGAAAATGATGAATTGAAACGGTTGAGACAAACAATTAAGACAATGATTCAAGTATGAATCCTATCAATAAAGTTGCAGAAAATATCTGCTAACGTTGCCGATTCATTGTTGACTGAACTAGCAAATGAACAGACAATTGGAATGATGAACGAAGGAGAGAAGCAAAAAAGTATCTGAAAAGGAAACGGAAGTATTAATGACATGATAGGAATGAATATGAAAAGGTTTTTCTGCTGATCTCTTCTTCTCTGACCATTTTGTCTGAAAATGAATCAGCATCATTACCATGATTACCATTATAATCATTATTAATACCAGTTTTAGCATTAAAAACGATTAATGTTATTATCAAGATAAAAGGCAATTGAAACTCACGAATGGATCATGAAAGCGTAACTCAAAACTCCTTCCCAAGTCAATAAAATGAACTTATTTTTTAATATCACTTGGACTTATCAGTTAATTATGACAATTAAACTGTCTACTCACTTTAACCAAATCATTTGCAATCTCATTTCATTTGCAGGTTAACACCCTCAACAGTTTAACCTTAATTTTGCATTCAAACCTGAATAGTTTCAAAGTCAATTATGTCAGAGTTGATCATTCCATGTTCATCAATATTTGCCTATTGATTGATCATTATTAATTTAATGTTAAATCAAGTTTAATATTTGTTTCCATCAATGTTTACTATTATTTTCACATTAGAATAAAACATTTGCTAGTAATATTGATTAAATATAAATAGTAACCATGGTTTAGATGAAAATGGAAACATTATTTTTCTTCATTTTTATACTTTTCTTTTTTCATCAAGAATATCAATTTTGAAGGTGAAACATTATTACAAGTCACGTGAAAAGAGGCGCAATAAAAAAATAAAAGTTGAATGCTAATTGCAGTTGAAATTGTTTCACTTTTAGATTCATTAATAAGTCAACAGAGAGCATAATTAGTGTTATTAGCAGTGTTGGAGTTTAAATTTATGGAAATGCTGGGATTGAGTTGCAAGTATTTCTGTCTAACAAGAATGCAAGTTTATACAAGTTGTTAATCAAGTCGATCAAGATTAAACATTGGTAAAGTAAAGTTAATTTACTTTAATTTTCCTGGTTTTTATGATATTATTCAGTAAAATAGAATGTAAAAGACTCAGAGAATCGTTTTTAATGTAAACCTATCTTAGACTTTCTTGGATCTTGATAATAGCAGATGCAGAACAAAAAATTCAAGTTCTTGAGCACAAAAGGATTGCAAATCGACTGAGAAGCTAACCGTTCTATCCAAGAAGCCAATCTATCCGCTCACTATGAAATATCGATGACTAAACTGACTTATTAATCTATTTAAAATGGGGCCAGTTTAGTCCACCAATTTGAAGATTTAGGTGAAAATTTAGGGGGAAAACCAGGTTAGATCAAATAAAATTAGATCCTAGGACGATTCCTAAATCCTAAAGACCATAAAGCAGTGTTGTACAGTTTATCGTGAACTAAATTTTGTACCTAAAATAAAGTGTAGACTAATGATACTTTAGCATTAACTCTTAAAGCTCGTATGACATCGTAACATTGATATTAATAGCAGTGTTTATAATGGTAAACCGACCTTATGTTAATAAAATCTTTATGCTTCTACAGTTGAGTTATTGATATTATTAAAGCAAATCTCTGCTTATTTCGTCTTTTCCTCATCACTGCATTTAAGCATTTCAATTCTTTGAAAATATGTTTGATTCTATTGGCGAGAAAAGACCAGAGATTCGCTATTTAACTCTCAGCTTTTAACTTATGCAGCAATTGACCAGAGATTAATTTCTAGGAACTAATTTCTAGACACACAAGTCCAATATATAAATTATCTTGATCGATTTGTCCAAGAGTTTTGCTGCATAAGTTAATATTCACATTGAAAGGTCTAGTTCATTTTGCAACAAACTTGTGAAACTCACGATAACTTCGTTAACTTTGTTTCGTATATGCTTTAACAAAACCATATAGTCATCAAATTAATAAGATTTAGTCTCTTAGAAGCATATCGAAAGCGTTAAGAAACTTTTTAACCTAACTTTCAAACCTTTTCAACTCTTTGAACCCAAGCAGAAGTCGATTTAAACCGTCTTTCAAAACGCAACTATTAAAAGGCTCGAATCGAGCCCTGCCCGACTCTTAACATTGCAAAGTTAAAGATTTCGTTTGCAAAAAAGAACCGAATTTGCATTGACTTATACAATTGCAAAGTTGGTCATTATTAATGGATGAGTTTCAATAAAAGTCGGAATCTTTTCAAATTTCAATTAATCACAATTAGCCTTTCGCAACTGAAACCTGATAAAGCACTTAATGGTGTCAACATGAAGAGTACAAAAGTCAAGTTCATTTGTTATTCACAATCAATGTTAATAAGAGGGTTGAAAGAATTGAAAAGAACCACGAAAAAGAAGGCAATTCAATGTGCAAGATAATAATGATGATCTGACCAATTTACCTTCCATTATATTTTTAATGTTATCTTTCAATCAAACTGCTTTACCATGTTATTGTATCTGCAAATTATGAATCATGAATCTTGAAATGGAAATCATGTTAATGGTAAGAAACTAAAAATGTATCATTTAGTTATTTTGGTTGAGAAGCGAAAAAAAATAATAAAATAAACTGATATAATTGATCTGAAACAATTTGCAGGAAAGTCCATTAATCCTGTAACCTTTTGTTAACATCGATAGGAACGGAAACACCCTTTGGACAAGCTCTTCAATTAACCAGTCGAACATTATATTCCTATTATTATTGTTATTAATTTTAGACTGGATATTGCACAGTCTCTTCAACCTGTCATTTACCATCCCAGGTAAATATCGATGTAAAAAAAGAATGAAAGAGAAAATAAAATAATTTTCTTTTCTTTCCTCACCATGAATCTCTCACTGATTTTCATTCAACTATTTTCCCTGCCATGGAAACAGTTGATTCTCTGGTTCCGGTTGAAATTGCTCCAATGCGTGACTTTGATCAGAACTTTCATGTTCATAAATAATCGGATTGCCCTTTTCATTCCAATCATCATAATCATCTTTTCAGAGAAACTCTTCTTTTCCATTTAATCATCAATGCAAACCCAAATGTAACCCAAAAAAGGATCAACAAACGATCAACTCGATTCTTAAAAATCAAACTCTTTAACCTCAAAACTCTTAATTAACTCGAAAATAAACATTAAACATTTTCATTCGAATTCGAAAAAATCAATTTCGCTTTTATAAATTGCTCATGAAACTCCATTAATCATTTACCTGTTGTTTATTAATTCTTGATTTTCTTTCCCTTTTCCATTTATTGTTGTAATTAA